GCTATTTAAAATTAATCAAAAAACCTTAAATTGGCATAGTTTTAAACATGTATGGTTATATATGGCAAAATTTCTGCTAATCTAAGTTTGAGTTTCAGCCTAATCATAAATTTTATATTGGCATATTTTTCTCCCGATTCAATATAATAGCATATATTATTTTAATAATTTTGTAACTTAGGCTTACATCAATATTATATCTAAATAAAGACATGTAAGATTGTTATCTCAATTTAGACAAAACAACTTTACTCAAAGTACCTAAAAAAATTCTTTAATTTTTCAAAAGTAGTGGTTAAGGAGGCAGGTCTTGTTATGCCAATTACTTTAATGTTATACTGTTATATTTTATCTAGAATGCTAAGGTAGCATAAAATCAATCAATAATAACACAGGATACAATAAAAATAACTTTAACAATAACTTACAAAATTAGTTCCCATTTAAAATATGCTTTACGCTATTAACTTCTAAAATGTCATCTAGAAATATTTCAAATCAAAACATATTATATATGCTTACTTGTACAGTCACAAAGTTGTTGAAATATTATTTATTGGCTGCCACATTTGAAGCAGTCCACTTTTTTGCGTTTGGGTTGCTTTTCTTTGGGAAAAAACTTTTATTAGACTATTTAAGAACTTATTTATTCTATTTAAGAAATGCATTCTAATAAAAGTTTGCACTCTACAAAATAAGCGAATTGATTCTCTGTTAGTTTCAGGATAATGTTTCTCCAGTTTATTAATTAAAGAGCCAATTACATGCTTCCTTTTATAGTAAGTTGTATCATGAACTGCTCAAAATATGTTTTCAAACTCGTAAACTGCATTCATCCATGAATGGGAAGGTATAGTCAAACCTCCTAAATGAGTCGTTGTCTCGCACACAGTAGGGAATACAACCTGAAACATATGTTAATGCTTTTTTTTCGCTTGCTTTTAATGTGTTAGTGCTAGGTAAAGGAAATCCCATTTTTACTTTCCAAAAATCGTAGCTTTTAGATGACAGAACTCTTATGATAATGCAACATGAAATATCTTCACTAGTCCACCTGATTTTTTTTCCTTCTTTTCTAGCAATGCGTTAATCTGCGTCTTTGTAAAAATATGCTTTAGACGTTTTTTCAAATTCTCTGATCTGCTTTTTTCCTAAATTTTGCTGTTTGGGATTTTAATTCCTGAATTTCCGATACAAATTTCTTTCTAGATGTCGTCCATGTTCTTTGTCGCTGAGCAAACATTCTAAAATTTTTCTTTTCTTTATTTTTCAGTATTTTATTACAATTTAAGGATATTATTTTGTTCTTAAAATTATTAATACATTCTTGTATCTTTACACTTAAAGGCATTCAGGGATATTGCCACTTAGAGCATTGTCACTTGTGAGTTTTATTTCAAAATCAGTCACATTTGATTTATTATTGTCAGCTTCAATTTTGTTCTCAGCCTCAAAATAAATTTTCTTTGGGCTTAATTCGTGTAGTCTTTCAAAAGCACTCTGCACTAGTTTTCTTTTCAAATGTCTCCGATTTCTTGGTGTTATTTCATTTACTGCACACGATAAATTTACTTTTGGCACAGTATTGCATTTCAACAGTTTCTTTTGCAGCAATGGAAGCAAACGATTTCTCACGTCATCTTCATAATCCCTGCACAGAAAATGTTCACTGCAAATTCTTCCATTTTTCACATTAATATAATCCTGTCTTCGACATTTATGTATCCATTCTTTTGTCAAAAGCAAATTGTCCTTTGGGAAAGCATGAAATACAATATGTCTTCCTTTCATATTTCTATAAGTGTTACAGCACGTTGCTACAGCACAAGAAGCCATATTACATAAAGGATAATTTAAATATAGAATTTAAAAGGAAAACTGACTAAAACTATATATATATACAAATTATTTTAAATCTTTGCATTATTAGAAAGCAAATATGTATGATTAAAATTAAGTTGGGATGTGCGACCTCCAGAAAATCGTCTCACAACTGAATGAAACTACTGTTTTAAATGCGCGAAATCAGAACAGGTGCAACACAGACACGTCAGATTACTTCCAGTTGACCCCCTCCGTGAGGCTCGCATCGGTGAGGAGTCGAACAAAGGAATGACCTAGCCCTTCTATTTATCCCTGGGGTTGAATTTTGTTTAATTTTAATGTTTATGAGTTCCAACTTAAGGAATTGTGTTGTATTAAAGTTTTATTTAGTGGAAATTTGAATAAATTCAAATTTCCACTAAATAAATAATAGAAACTTATCATTGTATTCTAATTTTTTTTTTAAGGAGCTTAGGCAAATTAAGTACATTTTTTACAGCTATACATAATGATTTTTTAGACTATGTTTAACACATGAAACCTGACTTAAAATCTAGTCTTGCAATGTGCAGCTAAGAAGAGCAGAGTCATTAAGTTATATCAATCCAGGAATGTGAAAAGTGCACCTGAATATGCATCAAGCATGCTTCCAGTTACACCATGATGGCATGCGGAAAGAAGGGAGAAAATACCTTATAAGTCTGAATCGATATTTTTAATATAACAGAAAATACTTATTTTTATACATATGCCTATTAAATAAAAATCATAAAACTTTTAAAATTTTATAGTTCTTTTATTCCTGTTTTTAAATAATAATAATAACAAAGGCCTGTTACTATTTCATATAACTAAATCTTTATTGTTTAAATAAAAATTAGCTAAATTGTATTTCAATTTTAAAACCTTTTATTTTTGTATTTCTTTTTTTCAAATAAGGAAATAAAAATTAAAAAAATTAAAAAGCATAATAAAATATCATGAAAAAGTACTGTTTAAATAAAGGAATGTATAGATCAGCAGTTTTCAACCTTTTGACTAACGCATACCATCTAAATAAAAATTGAAAACATTTAGTACCACCACTACAAAGTATTACTACCACCACCACCACTCTCGAATAAAGCTCAGATCACATAAATTTATGAGTTCTGGATTTAATTTTTGAATTTAATAGTTAAAAATACTTTGTTTCTTTGTGTACCACCGGTTGAGGACCCTTGGTATAGATGATTGCAAGTAATTTGTTACTACTGAATTTTATCTTTGATGCAGAAATTAGTGACTGTATAGGAAAATAAGAATCCTGTAGTGGAGGTACAGAATTATAAATTTTTGTTAATTGCATTAATGATACAGATGTAAATGGAACATATTGTAAAATATTATTAAGAAGCATATATCAATTTTCATTGGCCTTTTTTTTTTTTTTTTTGTATTTCTTTTCTGAAATAAGAAAGTAAAAATTTAAAAAGCATAATAAAATATCGTGAAAAAATACTGTTTAAATAAAGGAATATATAGATGATTGCAAGTAATTTGTTACTACTGAATTTTATCTTTGATGCAGAAATTAGTGCCTGTATATGAAAAGTAGAATCCTATAGTGGAGGTACAGAATATATGGCTTTAGAAACTTTCGTTAATTACATTAATGATACAGATGTAAATGGAACATATTGTAAAATATTATTAAGAAGCATATATCATTTAAATGGCTCTTTTTTTTTTTTTTTTTTTTTTTTACAATCATGAAGAAAGCACCATTATAATTTAGAAGGTAAATGACAAATCTTATACTGTTGTGGACTGGCAACAGCTTTGTTTCTTTACCCTGAATAAAGCTTTTTGCGAACTATGACCAATTCAAATACATTTGGGTAAGGGGACTTTGAAATTGGGAAATTATTTTGTCTCCAAAAGAAAATTTAGGAATTTAAAATGAGCACATTTTGGAACAACATATTAGCACAACCTTCTCAGTGCATTTTGGTGATTTTTTACACAAGAAATTATGATATAATGAAAAAATTATTTATTAGATACATACATATTTCACACTTTAGTTAGATATTTCTCCTGAAAATCAATCAATAAACCTGCTTACAGGTTGGTTTCTTTCCTTTTGTTCTAGTAGAAATTTCAATTGTTAGTGATCATTTATAGATTCAAAGCAATTCTTTTTAGTAATTTTGCAGCAAAACAGTATATTCTTGGAAAAACCATACTACAGTTTCTTCCATTGTAAACATATCTCACAAACACATATTTTAAAATTGAGTTTAAGACAAAAAATATCATGATTTGTCTGTAATTACTGTTGGAACTCAAAATACAACAAAATGAATGCATACAAAAATGGAAATGGTAGTTGTTGAAACTAAAAATTTGTTACATGCATGATAACCAAATCATAGCACATTCTGAAAAATTTGACAACTTTATACTAAAGTGGTAGTACTAATATGTAAGTATTATTACTTTTCTGCTGTAATTAACTTATGCTTGGCATGTCTTGGTGCTCTGTGTTATAAATTATCATTTTCTTTTTATAGAAAAATAAAATGAATAATAATAATTAAAAAAACTATCATAATTTACAAATTAATGCAATAAATTATGGAAATGAAATGTGTGAAAAGTTGTTTGAGGATGAACTCGGAAGTTACTCATAAATTGAATTGAAAATGAATAAATGAATAAAACTGGCATTGCTTCATAATAAAATCGCTAATGAATAAAAACTGGCATTGCTTCATAATAAAATCAAATGCAAAATGTGCTCATGATATCAATATGAATTATGTATGAACTCAATAGATTTATAATAAATATTTAAAGCAAAATTGCAATTTTACCCACATGTATGGACATTATACATGTACAAGTATATTAACAAAACTAGATATAAATTTTCACTACTTCTTCAGATTATTAATAACTGTGTAGTGACTCTTCAGCAGTTAGTAATAGTTTGATGAATTTAATTCTTCAAGCTGTTAATAACTGTTTGTTGAAATTCATAAAAATTTCAAAATATTTAAAATATGCTTTGACCGGGAACAGTAGATTAATGCTGTTATTAAGTGTAAATGCAAATTTATATACAGATATAAATCAAAATTTTATTACAATGTTTTATTTTTTAAATTTTTAAAAACACTTTTCTTCTTTAGGTACAAATTAGCTGATTATGCAAAGCTTCTTCTTATGCTTTGTGGTGTAGGTGTATGTGGATGGATATTTATGTATCTGTCTCATGTTAAAATACAGGCAATCTCCCGAAGAATGGCTAATCTAACTTACTGTGTGTGGGTGGTAAGTATTTTTATTAGAGCTTTCAGTTGATGCATTTACATTTAGCATGTTGTTTAGTTACATAACAATTAAAATAACAACTAGATATTAATAAATTATATATATTACAAAAGGATGAAAAAATTAACATATGAGCAGCAGTTAATGCTTAGTATACTCTGAAGAAATGTTTAAATTAGCAAATGAATGCAGTACAAAGTCCGAAATCCGGACTCGTCGGGACTTTGGCGATTCCGGATATTAGGTCATCAGTTTAAATCTAGTAAGATGGCATGTAGAAATTATAAAATTAAGAATATGAAATCGTGATTTATAAAATAATGAAGTATTTATGCTGTAAAGGGTATCAAAATTTATAAAAAAAAAGCTTAATATATATTTATTTCCCTTATTAAACATTTCTTTCAATCTAAGTTGTTAAAGTTGCTTCGTTTTTTGGTGCTAATACTTTCTCTTAATTCTGTAGACAGACATAATCTCTTGTTTAGTTACATTGTTAAAGTCTTGTAACTGCTGTGTCGAGAATTCTGACTAACTTGTCAATCGAAATTTTCTCGTTTTCAGTAACTTTTCTGTCACTTTCTTCACGATCTTGTCACTATCGATAGCGGTATTTTCTGGTCTAGAACCATACTACAGATTTTGCCATTTGTTAATTGATTGATGATTGAGAAGCATTGTCATCACAATGAAAAACTTCTTTTATATCATCTTCATTTATTACTGCTTCTCCGCATTTCTTTACAAAATCCGTTAATTGGAAAATTTCACCTTTGTTTTGCGATATCCGAAAACCTTTAAAATTAGCGGCTATCATCATCAAATTTCCTTTACTATACATAAATATTTGGCTATGCATCATGAGCTTGGCGACTTACGACAAGTTGTTCCATTAAGTTTTATCTTGCTTCTATCGCACACCGAGACAATAAAATATTCGTTTAAAAAATATGGAAGAATAAACGCAATGAAACAAATTCGTAAGGTAAGAAAACAAATTAGAAATTCAAGATTCGTGCTTCAAGTAGTGCTCATATTTCGGGTGGACGAGTACGTTATTCGAAATTTGATAGCTCTAAATATCGTTGATTTTCACAATGCGAGAAACACACATACATTCATGCAGATTCTTCATTATTTAGTTTCTTGAAATATAATACAAGACGATAATATTTGGTAGCAACAGCTTGAGAAGTGATGCAGGCGTTTATTATGATTTAATGCAAAATTCCGTTTCAAGACTAATAGCCCTTCTGGGTTAATTGTTTAATTTATTTAAAACATCAATAGCATTTTTAAAAACATAATTTTTTATGCAATAAGTACAATATAAAAAAGTAAAACGAAAAAACACAAGGACACATAAAAACTATGAAGAACCCAAAATTGGAATGGAAAACAAGAAAGAGGTTGAATATTTTTGAATAAGGTGATTCAAAAATTAAATTAAACAATTTTATGCTAAGTATAAAAGAACTGCATTAGTACAGCGCACATTAATTAAAACTGAAGTTTTAAGTTATTAGAATCTGTGATTTTGTTCTGAAAACTGGTTTATTGTTGTAAAATTAAAAATAATAATAATATAAGATATTTCTCCCGCCTTCTTGGCATGCCTTCGTGGTGTGGTGGTCTGCACGCTGAGCGCGTATTCCAGAGGTCTGTGGTTCGATTCCCGGCGAAGGCGTTGCTCATTTTTCAAGTCTCCTGCTTCGAAATAACCTAATGTCTGTAGAGTAATTATAACTGAAAAAATAATTAAGCATAAACCTAATAAACCAATTTTTCAAATTTTATGTTTACATTCTTAATCTAAATTTGTATCTCTATGTGCAATTACTTATATTATGATTCTATTGTATATTACATATTACAAAGAAAAATGTAAGGGGGCGATGAAGAAACCATTCGTTTAAAAGCAATCGATGCGAGGAAAAGGTTTGGAATCCCTGTAATAGACGATCATTCGTCATCATATTGGTTTGGTCGATTGGGTCTTGCGCCTTTCCCCTTTCATCTCTATTATTAAATAAGGAAGAATCTTGATTTTTTTATAATATATATTTTAGGCGGCTAGTATGAAAGAAAATAAAGCTTGTAGTCATCTTTTTCGAGCGTCACGTGTGTGCGCTTGTGTGCATACACACGTATGTATAGAAATAGAACCAGTTTAAAGTCCAATAATTCTTTCAAAAATACTTTCAAGAAAAGGAGCAGTTCCTGCGAGTTATGTCTCACTGAGTCTGAATTGTATTAGTTTAGTTTTTTATTATACTTATGTCTATTTCTTGCACATGCTTAAGACTTATCAAAGTTCTGAATAAATAAGTTCCCACTTATACTTAAGCCTTATTGAGGGCTGGTGCTAGATGTCTTACCACCTGATGCAGTCTCTGTGGGTCCTAAATTCTGCAGCCATACGAGCCCTGGGGCTGGTTCTGGGTTTATGTGAATAACAAATCAGTTATTGTTAATTCAAATAGCCCTAAATGTAATCTTTGGGTCTATGGATATCATCAGCAAAATCTATTTTTAGCATATGGGAAGAAATTTTTGGTAAATTTTTCCTCGTCAACATTTTTTAGAGCATTTAACGTAAATCTGTAATTATCGCGAAGCGTAATGTCAACATAAAAGGTTACCATACTCCTTTATTATTCAATTACTAATATAAAAATATTGATTAGGCATTGCTACATGAGCCATTACTCAAGCTGTCTGGTTTTGATAAACATGCGGTGATGAAAGGAAAGTATAATAAATAAATAATAATTCCCCAGGTTGGCGTCAAATGAACGATGTATCTATGTGGAATGTTTCGGTTTGAGATACGCAGCAACGGAGCCAAATTACTGATTATACAATTTTATGCTAAAATGATTATGTCTTCAATAACAAAATATTTTATTTAGTGTCAAAGTGAAATTAAGAATAGGGACTCTCCAGAAGTTTTATTATGCGTGGATGGGGAAATTAAATGCACATGCATAAAGCCTACCAGAAAAACGTTGGTGGTGGTTTCGAGATTTGGATTTTAGATCGTTCTGTATAATGCACATCCGGATTTCGGACTTTGTACCGTATAATGAAGACTGAATTTAGGAGGAGGTAATGTAACTATTCATGCATTAGCTGCCTACTAGAATCATTCTTACTAATATTTAGGTTTTAGGGTTCTGACTGTATAGTATTGACTCAAAGTCCTCCAGGCCCTATTAGACTGATAAGCGAGTTATCACTGTCTGAAATAGTAAAATAAGCCCTGTTCACAAGAGCAGATTCAACCTGTGATGAAAACTGGTTCTTCCAATGTATCCCATTCACATGGCAAACAAATATTAATTGCCCATCGAATTGGATGTAAAATGCTCCTACCCCCACTGAAGCACGGCGAATGGGAATATTTCCTACTTTGCACTGCGTGATTCACTTAATTCTAGTAAACAACATCGCAGACATGCAACTGATCGGTCACTGGAGTGTCAGTGAAACTACTGCATTGATAGCTGTCTGGGTATGCAATAGCATTAAAAAAAGAATTACTAGAGTACCTTACTTAATAGTGTAACGTAATACAAAAGTATATAAAGAGATATCTACAAGTTTAGCTGCATCTGGGTATATAAGAAATACTCTTCAAATCAAAACACTGAGACACGAATATCGCCTACAGAGGATATCGTCACTCTGGATACACCAATTTTAAAAACATTGTTTCTTATCTAAAGAAACACATAAATTTCCTTCAGCGACTCCTCTGTTTCTCATGATATAGAAATCCTTCCTCTAAGTAGCACATATTAAATTGTAGATGCAAAAATAATTCTAGGAGGGAAAAAGAAATTAAAAAAGTTTTTTCAGGTAAACTTTTACTTAAAACTCATAAAATACTTTATGAACTAAAAGGAGAAAAGTATCTGGTTGTAACGAAAGTTTTCCACCAAAATACATTCTTAATAAAGTTAGAAAAAAAACATGAAAGCAGTATCAAATGTATTTCAGACGTCCTATGCAGAATGGAAGATAGCAACCAGCAAGATGTAGTTGCAGGTGTGAAAAAAAGGTAGAAGTCTGAAGGAGCGATGTTGAGGCTATATGGTGGGTGTGGCAAAAGATCCCACTTGAGTCCATACAGTGAATGCAGGCAGGCACATGTTGTCTTTCATTACTTTGATGGAACATTACCTTTTTGTGCCGGAACTCGGTCAGTTTTTCCTTGATAGCAGCGTCAACACAAACTAGCATCTCACTGTACACTTTACTGTCAAGGATTTTACCTTTTTCCAGATACACTTAATAGATAATACCATGGTAATCCCACCAGATTCAAAGCACAATCTTTTTGTTAGTCAAATAATGCTTTGCGACGCTGTCAATGGGCTCACCGGGCGAAGCCCTTTTCGGCTGTGTTGTTGAAGTAAATCCACTTCTTATTTCAATTGATGATACGGTCCAGAATTTTGTTCTTGCATGGATATTCGAGCAGATTAGTACAGACCTGAACACGTCTGCCTTATTTGCTTGAGTTGGCCCATGCGGCATCCAACAATTGAACTTGTACATCTAGTTTATGCGATGCATAGCGCGACTAATGGACATGGATGGCACTAACATCTAACTCCTTAGGAAGTTCACAAATGGTTGCATACTGATTTTCTTCCACAAGTTCTTGCAGGCGAGCCTTATCAACATCAGTAGGCTGGCCAGAGCGCTCTGCTTCTTGAATGTCATAGTCCTTTTTTTTTTAACTTTTAGCACCAAACCTTCACATATGATACAACATTAGTACTTAAAGCTGTACACATGATTTGGTGACATTCTGTAGTTGACTTTGTATGTGTGTAATGAATATAAATGCATATAAACTGAAGGTCAGGAACCTAAAACTGTGTTCAATTCAGAAGTAATGAACATAGGATGCCATCTTAGCGATCTTCAAAAAAATGTTCCAGCTTAAAATGCGTATATGTATTGCCCTCCCCCCGAATTTAATCTCCAGTGGTACGTAGATGAGATGCCTGGCTGTGACAGACATTTGTAGGGAACGTGTATATGGGACACCTGTCTAGAAGGGGTTGAAAGAGATTTCGAAGATACAATATTAAAACGGTTAAATGAAAAGAGAACCTATTTATTAATTAATTTTACAAAATAGGAAAAATTCATTTAACAAATTAACAAGAGTTAGCAGGTATGTTAATGAACTTTGTTTTATATTAATTTGAGTGTAATTAATAGTTTATTCAGCGTGGTACTTTTTGACACATTCTAAAATCTGTACAGCCAACTAACAACATTCGTGTTCCCTAGTGGTTTCACTCCTCTGTGTTTTATACAAACCTTATAGTTTTATAAGATGCTTAAGTTGTGTAAATAAGAAATGTGAGCATTCATAGTAAAAGAAATGTCATGATGTCATTTTCTGTAGATTGGTTTCCTTGCATATGATATTCTTTACATAGAACAGTTAGTAAAATATGTTCTGTAACATTTAATCAAAAATAAGTGAAACTGGCCTTTGGGTTATTTGTAATTTTGTTACTTAATATTGTACAGTGCTACAGATGGTGAGTAAAAAGTATTTTACAATATCCTTTTCAGCATCTCATATTATGAAAGGACCAAAGAATTTAATCATGACTGTAAACTCTTTCCATGCGTGCACAATCATTTATTTCAATCAATTATTTATTCATGTTTTCTTACAGTCATTGATTTCTTTCTCTCATTTTTCTTTGTCCAGCATTAATAAAGCGTGCATTAATATGCTTTGTAAGTAGCATATATGTATTTCTTATCTCTTCAATTTAGGGTTAGTATCTCAGTATAAAAATGCATTAGAAATTCACTTTTTGTAGTTTAATTCAAATCAATTTCTGTCATATATCTTCTTGTTTGTGTCACTGTATCAACAGCATGCGTCTTCAGATGAAATAATTTAGTAATGTATATATCAGTTATCTAAATATATAGCATTTCCTTTGTTGAAAATGTCATCTTGCATATTTTCAGTTCTAAACCATTTTCAGATTGCATTGATGATTGAATTTAATAATTTATCTGTTCCTATATGCATTTTGAAGACAATGCAATCACAATTGCTAAACTCACATAGTTATGAACTTTTGTATTGCAGGGTTATATTGCTTGAAAAACAAGCAACAACAAAATTCCATTAGCTATTCATCTAATGATACATTATTTTCGGGAGTATATATATATTTTGGAAAACAATATGCAAATTTGTGTCAGTGTGTTTTATCTCAAAAACTTGATATTTTTTTAAATCTGTCGATTGCTAACAAAATGTAAAAATTTGGTTATAAGTTCAGATTTTTGTTTAGTACTGTTTTTTGCATATAATAGAGTATACGATCTGTTTCTCTTTTACCAATATTAATTTTTTTTAATGTTTTTTAATGGAGACTTTAGAGCACATTAAAGTGAAACAAAATTAATTTACAACTGTATCTCTTTATTCATCATATTTTTGCTCTTCATAATTTTTACTATTAAATAGTTGTGTTGTATGCTGATTTTTTTATTGCATTCCATATATAATTCGTCAATAATAGGTTAAATAAATCCATTATAGTAACATGATATAATTTTTGAAAAAATGAAGAATTTATGCATCATATCTTTTAAATGATAAAATTTCTTAGATCATTGAAAATTGGAATCTATTTATGACCATTAGAACTATTTTGATCTATTATTACTATGCTTTGGTTGTTTTATTTGCATCAACAACATTAGAATTTTCAGCATCTAATATATTTTTTTCTATCTTGAAGAATGAATATCTAATCTTCACTACTGTCAAAGTTCAAAGTTGTTTTTATGCTTGCCTAACACAAATAAAATTATTCGTGATTATATAGAACAATAAAATCAAATCAACTATTATGAATGTAGCGTGAATGAAACTTGCTAACTTTGTATGTAAAATAGTTGTGACGTAAATTTAACTTGGGATTGCACATTTCATCTTCAGTTATGCCCAATAAGTCTAACTAGTTATCCTACATGAATGAATTCACCTTGCATGTAAAGGAATTGTGATGCATGCACAAATAAAACTTGTTACTGTGTATTTTGACTTCAACTATGCATCACGAGTATAATTTATTCTGTGCAAATAGGTTAAACAACTCACTATAATAGCCTTCTGACTGTTTCACTCTAACACTGATATCTTTCCACAATACAGTGATGAGCAGTTATTTAAAACTTATAGTTGTGCTGTTTATAGTTAGTTTGTTAAATTTATGCAGGCTAGCTATCAAAGGGAAGGGATATTTTTGGTGAGGACTTACTCAGTTAAAATGGCTTGTATTAATTTACACATGAGGAAAACCTGAAAACTCCAACCAGCTAGTTCACCAGGATTTGAACTTAGTTGTATTTAGCCATTGGTGGGCTTAGTGTTATAATTGTATTTAAACTGTAGCGAAATGCTCTAGAATTTGCATGTAACAGATTATGACTGATGTATTATTGTAACATTCAAATCTGATATGAAAATACTGAAAAATCTGCATGTGTTAGAATATTCAAGTATTAATTATGCAGGGAATAAAACTTGTCGACTGTTACATATGCATTGTATGTCTGTCTGTAATAAGAAAAAGCTCTTGCCAGTTAGTCTGAAGCTGTCTGTTGCCGCAGAAATGAGCTTTGACCCATTGTTCGTAGGGGTAGAGGAATGATAAACTGTTTTCCCCTCAGCCAAGAGTTGCCGAAAACAAATTAACAACAAAGCAACGCTTGGTTTGTCCCTATTTGAAATATACTAGCTCTGTTGCTATAGTGACTGTCACAAGCCAGACACTGTGGTGGGAGCTGTTCTTCTCGTATACAGCCAGTACTTGCCTTCTAAACTTCTAAAACACACACACACACACACACACACAAAAAAAAAAAAAAAAAAACTGCAGATGTAAAACTATTGTAAATAACTGATTTCAAATATTTTTTTATTGCACAACATAAGCTATGATACAGAACAATTAGTTCAGTAAAAAATAAAACAGTATTAATGTTTTTTTTTTTTTTTTTTTTTTTTTTTGTTAAAGAAGAGAAGCATAGTTTTATTATTTAATTAATTTTGCTTTTTTTCTCCTCAGGTTTCTCTTACAAGTTTACAACTGGCTATTCACTTAGCACATAGGCTTATTTTGGTCTTTGTAAGTAATTTATTTAAAAAGAGCTGCACTGATTTTTTATTATGGAAAGCTATCAATTATAATGGCTTGTTTTACTTTTTGCTTGCTAACATATTAACAGGACTTGTCAATCTCGCAATATGGACAGATGACGCTACTGACAATGAATCACTAGCAATTCTAATATTGTATTTGACAATTTTGTCAGTAACTGTTGTGATGTTTTACAAGCATTCCATTCAATTAAAATTTTAGATTGTGTGGCAAACATTTTAAATAATTAATTTATTCAAAATGTCCATTTTTATTTCTTCACTATAGACCTATTTCTAAGCTAACTCTAGACTGCTCAATCTTTATCAGTTTTATGAATCCATTTGATGACATTCCATTATTTTAATCTCTCAGAAAACCAATACAGCAATTTAAAAAAAAATTGAAACATTAATAATAAATAAAGAATTCTTAGTAGAGAATTTCTTTTAACATACAGGTATCCTCTGCTTTGTAAACATTTGCTTTATTCCACGTCACTTTCATGAATGGTCTAAAATTAGGATCTTTTCTGTCAGTGAAAAATGTCTGAAAAGGATTTTTACTTTTATTAAGAAAGGAGAAAGCAAATATTATTTAGCATTTGCTGTAAAAAAGTATAACTTTAATTATGAAACAGTATGTTGCTCCAGAGCAGTTTATAAAGATATTTTGACAGCCTAAGAAAAATTGTGCAACAGGGAGGAAAATAGCCTAAATTGAGCTCACTTCTTTATTTCAAGATTCTCATGTCAGCCAGAATACAAAATTAAAAATAACTTTTGGCATTTGGACAAGCAAACATTCCAACTGAATGTTATGGTCTGATTGATATGAGCACAACACCATCACTGCTACCACCTTTCAGCATGTTTATTATGGAAGGTAAACTGCAATAAACATTTCTTTCTATTTATATGAATATTTAATGTATCCTTATTTTTTAGTGATGTTTTAAACATTTTTATGCTGATTGATATGATTTGATAAGATTTTTGGAAGCCTCAAAACAATCAGAAATTTTTTTACCTTATAAATTCATGACAATCATTTCATTTTATGCATTTGGTATACAGAAGGTTTTTACAGAGGGGGCTTGACACTGCTATGGAAAACAGGGTTCGTAGCGGTCCTTATAAGTCCTTATATTTGAAAATAAAATATAAAGGCCCTTATAGGTGCTTACTTTTTTTCTAAAGCCCTTATTTTTTGCTTTTAGTGCTTTTTTTTTAAATGAACGTGCACAATTTTCCCCCGTACCAAAGCCGAAACTAAATAAACAACTTTTCTTCCTAATATGGAATGTCAAATGGTGAATCATACTCCCAGAAATAGCTTTTCCCCTTTTCTCTGCATAAACATAACCTTTGGTGTGCACAGAGAGTACAGACAGGTGCCTGTCTTTCTGTTGGTCAAAGAATTGCGAAAGCAGTAGAAAATTCCAGTACATTCGGCATTCTTTTCCTCCCACCCAAATACTACACACGTTTGAATTTCTATCAAGATCTTAATAATTTACATTCTCATTCCGCTTGGTCAGTTCATATCCGTGTTTATTATGATTGTTATGCTTATATTATGAGCATATGTATGAATGTTTATAATAACATAGTTGCAGTAACTGCTGAACTGCTGAAACTTCCAAAAATGGTCGTGTTTTAACACAGATTAGCTTTCTAAGGAATAATATTCGGAATGGCTTAAATAAAGGGAAAGTAATTGAATAGTCAAAATAATTTCATTTTTTTGGCCAATACATTATAGAGTACGAAGATTGGGAGGTTCTCCCCTTTCTCCGCAAAATCTTGAATATTGAAACTGTTACAGTTCGCTGCAAAACAAGCAACGGACCTTTTTCTTTTTTTTGTCACTTTTCAATCTAGATTGAATAGGACTAAAAGTTCTGCGGTCTACCAACCCAAGCGAAGAATGATTCTATTCTGGAAATTTAACGCAGTCTGTTGAAAATCAGAATGGAAAACACCCCAGATTGGTAAGTCTCTTTCTTTTCCTTTACTTAGTTCTATATTCTGCCAATACCGGCAGCTGTTGAATCCGATTGTGTAATATCATGTAGGGAAGAATTACGGTGCACCTATTGCGCAATAACGTTTGCGATATTTTGCAGAGATAATTAATTTTGATGTTCGGTCTGAGATTTGTTTATGAACACTTAAAAAGAGTTTTACTGTGCTTGCAAAGCAGAATATTTTTCTGTTCCGTTGGCTTGTTTTTATATGATGCACATATCGAAATGTCAAAAGCATTTATTTAGCGGAAAAATCTAAAGAACGGCTACAGTCTATTCCCCCCCTCCGCTCCTCTTTTTCAAGTTACACTCGACTGTCTGAATATTTGCCAATTTTCAAGTATGCGGGTAGTTAAGCTTTTACTGTTAAAGGATGACTGCATGAAGCAAATTTCTGTCTTCTGATTTCAGAAATGTTTCTCTTTTTTACTTAAATTACTTTGCTTGCAATATCTGTTAAGGGAAAGCTGATATACGATGAAAATTTAGAAAATCTTCAGAATTTAGATTTAAATTAGTTAAATTTCAATATGAGTGGGAAAATAAATTGTATTTATTATTAAGTTCCAAGCGAGTAGAATAAATGTGCTTTATTTATTTCCTCTATTTTGAACTGAAATTTCATCATTAAATCCTGTAATATCATTTAGTTCTGCATAGTTTTTTTCCTCTCTCATTGTAAACTAGTTCTGTAAATTGAACTGTTGTTTAAAATTTAAAAAAAAAAAAAAAAAAAAAAAAAAAAAAAAAAAACTAGTTATTTTCCATGGTTGAGGTAATGCTTATTCTCTCTTAATAAATACTGCATTTCATATATTTTAAATTACGAGTCTAATTTTTAAGGTTATGCAGTTGTGTATAATGTAATTAGACAAGTGCTTATTTTTTTTTTTTCTTAAACTGTGCTTGAAAAGTGCTTATTTTTTTAACTAAAATGTGGCTATGAACCCTGGGAAAAGCACATTAGGACTTGTACTTATTTTTTACAGATGGAAACCTGTATTAAGTTCTCAACATGTAATTTATATCAATAATTTTGCTACATCATAAAATTCGTGATGGTTTAGCAGCAACGTAATTTTCTCTGAGCCTTTAGTATTCTAGGGTTAGTTTTCATCATTGCATGAGTAAATATTTGTAACTTAGTGTTTTGAATGATGTTAGGATGTAATTGAGAGTTTGTGATTAACAAATGGGAAAAACGAGTTCCTTTCTTATATTATGATAAAATATATTTATTAACATTATGTACAAATTATTTAAGGAACAGGCTAAAGCATGATTACCTGTTCCTTAGCTTTTTTATCTGCCTTCTTCAGACTTGCTTTTATTTTGCTGTGTTTCTTTGAATTTATGTGAACTGCAACAAAAAAGAAATATAAGACTTTTTTTTTTTCAATCAAGCAGACAAAGTTATTTCATGATTTAAAATAATAAGGATTTTTTTTATTGCAAAAAAGGAGCTTAGAAGTCTCTAGTATTTTCTCTAGTATCAATCTCTAGTATTTTCTTTAATTATTTTTTTCTATACACAGTAAACTAAACACAGAAATAATGTAACCCAATTTCCATTTATGTGTCTCATCACTTTGCTATTCATCATGTACCTCCCAGCTTATACATTATGGGCATTTTCACTTTATATTTTTTTCTGACATTTTCTGCCAATGAGTATAATTTTTTTATGAAAATTTAATATCAAAGTTGGTTTTGCTGTACTGCCTTCTTATCATTCCACTTTACTCATGGGTTCCTATTTAAGAACAAAGTTTCCCTTTTCATTACACATCAGTGCACTTTTCTATGGTTCTAGACTTGAAGGTAATGCCTCCTCTTTGAAAAAAGGATTAACAATAAAAAATTAAGGACAAGTTTGAAAAGATAGTCACTTATTTTCTCTGCCAATAATGCAATCTATTCAGTAACTGTTCAGCATTTTAAAAGATTTTCAGTTTCATTCAAGTAAAGAAAGAAGAATCCTGAAAGAAGCTTAATGCATTAAAAAAAAATGTTTTAACATTTCAGAATTCCGTAAAAAGGAAATTCTTTTACATAATTCTTTTTCAAAATCCTTTTTTATGACAACAAAATACAGATGATTCATTAAAAAAATATCTGATGTGTACACCACATGACTTCCTTGTACAGCCTATTAAATTGTACAAATTTTTTCCTGCATTTCATTTAAATTTATTTCCTTGAATTTCATTAGAGATGAATCAATCAATTCAGTCCTCATTTCACAGCAGCACTGTTCAACTAAGAGTTTCAACTGTAAATAAATGGCAGTCTCATTAGGCCTAGCCCCACTTAAATAGTTTAATTGTTGATAACTCTACAAGTATTCCATGCAGATTAACTAAAGGCATAACACCTTAACCAGAACATAACATAATTCAACTAGTTTTAAAGCAAAAAATGCACAATTTAAGAACAAAAATGCTGAGCACACTGAGCTGGATGACGTAGTGATATACAGTACAAAGTCCGTAATCTGGACTCGTTGGGACTTCGGCGATTCCAGATTAGTTTTTTTCCAGATTATAGATCATCAGTTTGAATCTGGTAAGATGGCATGCGAAATTATACAATTAAAAATATTAAACCGTAATTTATGAAATAAAAAGAGCAATTATGATCTAAAGGGTATCAAAATTTACAAAACAAAAAAAAAAAAAAAAAAAAAAAAAAAAAAAAAAAAAGGCTTAATATTTATTTGTTTACTTTATTAAACATTTCTTTCGATGTAAGTTGTTTAACCTCTTAACTGCCGCGGGCGTATATATACGCCTTGCTCAGCCGATGCGTTAACTGCCCCAGGCGTATATATACGTCCTTCCAAACTGCTATCATTTGCTTTGCGCTGCTACCCTAAAATTATTCGCAAAGTTAACGCATCGGCTGAGCAAGGCGTAAGGGTTAAGGGTGAGCCGCGGCAGTTAAGGGGTTAAGTTGCTTCATTTTTTGTGCTAATACTTTCTCTTTAATTCTATAAACGGACATAATTTCTTGTTCAGTTACAAAGTTCCACTGTTCAAGTACTGTAATTGCAGTGCCAAGAATACTGACTAACTTGTCAATCGAAATTTTTTCATTTTCAATAAACTCTCTTTCACTTTCTTCACTATATCGGAAGCGGTATTTTCTGGATCTAGAACCATACTACAGATTTTGCCGTCCGTTTATTGATTGATGATTGGGGCATTGTCGTCGCAATGAAAACCTTCTGTTATATCATCTTCATTTATTACCGCTTCTCCACATTTCTTTACAAAATCCAATAACTGGAAAATTTCACCTTTAGTTTGCGATGTCCGAAAACCTTCAAATTCGCAGCTATCTTCTATATGTCGTAAATATGGTAGCTGGCTATAAATTATGCCAAGCATTTTTTTACATATCTGGAGACACATTCTCTCTATGCACATGCATAAAGCATACAAAAAAAAAAAAAAAAAAAAAAAAAGGTTTGTGGCTTTGAGGTCCGGATTATAGATCATTCCAGATAATGGACGTCCGGATTACGGACTTTGTACTGTATATATGTCTTTAGTTTTAACCACATTTAAAAGACATGAATATTTTTCATAATGAGATTTTTTAGATATTTAAGCTTTTAAGCATTGAATAAACATCCAACCACTGGCATCTTTTTGTTATGTATATTGTACTCTAGTAATAATTTTAAAATTAGCTCAAATGACGCTGAATTTTGTTGTTTCTCTCATGCTTATATGCCAGTTTTAATCTTTATTTCTTTTTATAGGAGATTTTAATACTTGTTGCATTTATATTTGTAGTTTTAATAATTTACAATTGTATTCTCCACAAATTTTACATGGGAACTCTTAGACACGAACAATGAATAAAGCGGGCGCAGCCCGCTAGTCATAACACTATTTTTGTGATATCTAGTCAAATAAAGAAGAGCTATTGTATATTTGTAACTCCATTTTTGTAATGTATGAAATACAAGAATAAAAGAGCTAAAGAAAAATGCTTTTTGATTAATAAGATTTTAATGTATAAATGATATGAAGTATATTTTATTTTCAACTAGGATAACAACTTACAGAAGATAGTAAATTTGCTGTTTCACAATTATAATCATAACTTTAAGTAAATTTTCATATCATTTCTTGCAACAATATCAGCAAAGTCCCCATACCCATATATTATCTGCATATGTGATGTTTTAAAATAATGAAATATAATTAAATGACTCCATTAGCACAGTTTCATTTCTCAGTATTCATATGTGATCTGGCCTTTGCTGCCATACCAAATATATGGAAAAATATCACAAAGAAAATTGAGGGTATATAAACTTGCGTGCTTAATATGATGGAAGACAACACCTTGAGTAATTAACCAGGTGAATATATTATGTTAAATTAAATTATACTGTTTTATAATAGAGGTATAAGGATTTCCGAGGTGCACTGTATAATGAAACTGAGTGAGACTAAATATTTCCATTAAAAGTCTACAGATATGCTATCAAAACATCATTAGATTTAATACATCTTTTGTAGAATGACAGGCAGTGAATAAAAATATGAAGAATAAAAAATATATAAAACTATGCTATAAAGTAGTATAATTTGTTATAGTAATTTTATTACTATGTTATAAAGTAGCATAGTTTCTAGACAAAGCAAAATGCATAAATAATTATGTAAACATTAGAAACAAATATATAAATTTCATAAAATGGTATTTGCAAGAGAATTAAAAGCAGAAGGTTTAAATATACAGCAGAGTAAAATCTTAAATATTAGAAAAATATATTGATAAAAATTATTTTATGAAGAAATTTATACAGATAATTTAGATTAAAAGATCTACTTCTTAATCTTCTCCAATTATATACATCATACTTTTTTCTAAAAATTATTGGATATAATATTTTATTTTTAATTCATTATTTATACATTATAAATTTTTCTAAAAATTACTGAGCATTACAATATTTGTATGATAAATAATATCAATGTATAAATCCATTCCCCGATACCCATGCAGCTAGATTTATTCTATATTGTGTGTCTCTTTTCTCTTGTTTTTTAAAGTACCTGATATCTTTAATATATCTGAAATACCTAATACTTGTGTTTTTACTTATATAAACAAATTGCATAGCATCTCAAATAATTGTAACAAAATATCACAGCTTTATGCCATTATAAATTATTTCATTATTCATACAAAGAAATAGCATACGTTTTTTTTCCCTTTGTTGCAGGTATAACACCATTTCCTTAATATATTAATTGTAAATTAACTCTGACAGATTTGGTATTTCTTGAAAAGAATTTTTCTTGAAAAGAACAAGGAATTTTTGAAAAGTGAATGACAGGAAAATGCATATTATAAATTTCAAGTGACGTATGCAACTTTCACTGAAAATTATACTGAACAAAATGATACAATTAATCATAAAATTTAGAAATTTTAAAACGGTAAAAGGTACTTACTTTCCCAAGTTCTCCTTCCTACAAAAATTCGATCACAAACTTCACAGTAATGAGTTTCTGGCACATCTTGTAGGCTTTCTTGTAAAGGCAAAGGTTTCTGGGAAGGTATCCGATTCTGGTGAGATAAAAAGAAAATCATGCATACTTTAAAATAAATTACAGTTTTCTTTAACTTCAAAATTAAGTAGTATGGTAGAATTCCAATAGTCTTCATATTATGGAACCAGGATTCAGTTTCTGATTTTTATTAATATCTTCCACTTTCCAATTTCTACATTAAATTTGGATTGTTGACATATAAACATTTAACTGTATCATAGCTAAAAATGATTTAATCAGGATTTATTGGATGCAGAACCGTTATATTTCTTAATACATTTATGTACAAACAAAATGTTAATACCGGGGGAAAAGCAAAAGGAATAGAAAATATGATTTTTGTTAAGGCTATAAAGAGCTCTTTTGTCAAAGTACATTGAATACTTCTAAAATTGCTTCAAAGGGAATTTTCATGCTCTTAAATGAGACAGAATATCAAAATATGTCACACTATATTTTTGTTATCTACAAAACGTTCAGCAATTCAATTTTTTCTAAACAATTCCTATGTTAATTCTGCCATTATATTCTGTGCATTTATTGCAGATTACTAACACTGTAGTAGCTTAAAAAAAGGGCTAAAACTTAAAGTTACATAAGTTAACTACATAAGCTCAAAATTTATTTTTACAAATAGCAGAAATATACACCCAAAAGAAATAACTTAAGTAAAAAAATTGAAAATTCTTGATTTGGTAAAGAGGGAGAGCATTCATGCACGTGCAGAAGAGGATAAATAACTTCACTTGTTCAATCGAAAAAAATCTAATGAACTTTTGCTAGAAGATATTTTTTGGCATACATATCTATGAAAAAATAACCCTTAAATTTGCCATGTTATATTTTATAAAAATCGAATGTTTACATGCAAAAATAAGCTTGGATTACAAGCATTCACAGATTATCAGAATGTTATTGTATACTGAGCCCTGGATGTAATTATGGCCAGATTATGTTTTCTGTTACCTACAACATTGTGCCTCAGGTAAAATTATGGGTTTAAGATTTAGTGAAAAATATAAAGGATTTATTGCAGGACCTTATGAGTGCAGCAAAAGGTAATTGTACAAGAAATGTTTCTAGAGGAAAAAGAAGGAAGAAAAAGGATCATAGTTCTGTGACTTGCAGAATTTTTACAAAATGAAGTAAAATGCAAAATTTTCACATAATGCTATATCACTCTGATAAAGCAGTAGTAAACTACATAAGGTTATGTTACCTTACTTGAATACAACAAAGCACATGAGGAGTATCTGTCTAAGAGAAGGAAGGACTTTCTCAGGAAAACTGTCTCATATTCATGTTACAAATGAGGGAAACTATAAAAACCAACCATGTACCCAGACCATTCACCTTAGTTCGAACTACCAGCATTTAGTGGTCTTACTCAATCAGACACTGGTGAGGTATACAACATATGCATCATCAATGATAATGTCATACCTCACTTTAGAAACATTTTAGAACGTAAATAACAAGAAATCATATTGGACAAATATTCATTGAAACAGATCCCCAATGATTCTTATGATGATCTAAACCGAATTCAGTGGCATTAACAGAAAAAAAAAAAAAAAAAAGAAAATAAGATGTCCTAGAAAAGTACTTTTATGGCAGAAAATTCCTCATTCAAATAATAATAACATCTGTTCACTTTTTCTTTCTCATGACCTTTTACTTATGCTGTCCATTCTCCTTTGCATAAGTACAGTAAAATTAAGTTTCCATATGTTTTATCTGGTTAAGATGTTTATTTTTGTCTTAAATTGAATTATTTCATTGGTTTGATAGTTATGAACTTATGCACTAAGTACTGTTGAAAATCCCCTCCCCCTCCAAAAAAAGAAACATCTGTGGTCAAGGAATGGATTAATCCTTTTTTCATTATCTCCAAGGGAAAAAAAATAATTTCACTTTACAAATATTTCAGATAACGAATGGCTTTTGGGATGAATTACATTTCTGAACCACGGTTTTAGTACATATACTGAGTGATATATGCATTCATCAATTATGGATATGTACAGCTGCACATAATTAATTACCTTTTTTACAGCTTGGATGATTTCAGCAGCTGGGTCTAATACATTTTCTTTCCATAAATCAAGGTTTGTAGCATCAAGCCCATATACAGGAGGTACCTGTCTATCAGGTTCTATAAAAATAATTTTAAAAATAAATATACGGTTTCTGAAGGTATACATGTAAATAAATGCTATTATGAAAATCAATAGCAGTAGGATAAAATGTTTAACATGATTAGAGTACAAAACACATATTTAAGAAAAAGTGTTGTCTAAGCAAAGGACATACCAGGAAAGTCAGTTTAATTAACCTACCAATAAATGAAAAAGTAAGAATAAAATCATCAGAATAAATAAAAGACAACAGCTTTAATTTTATTTAATGCCTCCACATTCTGATAAGCTAGCTGATTGATTAAATGAACTTTTAAAATTCTCTGAAATTTATTAGACACCTAACATTTATACATATAATATTTAACTGAGCTACTTTTCACATAATAATTAAATAAAGATGTTTAAATTGTACTTGACTTTTCAATTTGTCATATAATTTAATATTTTTTCAAGATTTGGCACTTTGAATTATTGACTGTATTAGAATTAGCATTAAATAAAATTCTGAGATCCAGAGGATTGCACATGCCAGAAAAATATTCTCTGGTGAAGATATTCTTTTCAAAAAAAGAATATATTTTAAAGTATATTTAGTATCTTGTTTGTTGCAATGATTGAAGATTTATGTCGATTCTCAGTGCTTTACCCCTGGCCTTGACATTTTAGATTTTGCTTAAAAGAGAAAGTAATTTTTAATTTTTGAGAAAAGGAGGATATTACAGATTTATTTTAAAAAATTAATTTAAAGCAAAGTTCCATCAAAATCAGATGAAATTAAGAAATATACGAATAATGCATTTGTAGATACCCCAATTTTTTCCACTTATGTGTGGTCATTAATGGCACCACAAACAAAATATAATTAAAATTTGTTTCTTAAGCAAAATTAGCTCAAAATGAATAAAACTTAATATACTGAAAAATTGCAATAAAATACATACTTTTATTTCAAATTACTGAATTATTGATTAATTTTAAATTAATAACTAATTTACTGAAATTAATTAATTACAAAATTTAATTTAACTGATATTAATTTACTGAAAAATTACAATAACAAAATACGTATTTTTATTTGAAAAAATATCTTTTACTGATATCTGCTCTTCTCCCTCCTCTGTTATTAAAAACATCTCAAGTTTTTGCATAATAATAAAGCATTATTTTTCTCCTTCTTGGATACTTAATATACCCTGATACCTTAACATATACCCTGATTTTTAAATCATCTCTAGTCTTGTCATTAGCTACGCAACAAAATATGTATCATCTTCTGTCATGATTCTAGCTTAAATATATAGTTACAAATTTTGTATTTAGTTACACATTTTTAGTAGAATTATAATTAAAACTGTTTTATTTCTCTGTGCAATGCAGCACGTGGCAAATTTTAAGAGAAAGCTACACTGGAAAAGTAAAAATACATGAGCACGTGTGTTTAACATTGAATAAAAGTATCTCCATAATTTATATTTCATTTGAATGCATGTAATTGACTACAATGTTAGCTGTAACCATAATTCTATTCTTTTTGCTTTCCAGGAATTGCTAGAACTATATCTCATGACCTATTAAAAGCTATAAAAAGCCAGACAGAAACATCTCAGCTCAGTTGTTGTTTAGCTAGCTGTTGTTATTTTTTTGCAAATTCATTGCGAGATCAGATCTCTAGAATTACAAATTATTCAAAATAACCTTCTGCATTATTTTGGGTGCATACTGCAGGTTAAAATTTATTTTCCAGTTACAGCGCAGAATTCACTTGATTACAAAGTCCAGCTTCCTGGGAAAAATTTTCAGTTATAGTCCAGGAATAAAATCAATATTATTTTTTGGTTCAGTTATATATATATATATATATATATATAATATATATATAATCTTATTAGCTTCTGCTGATAATAGGCTTTAACATATAAAATGATGTCCCTCAAAACTCAAGTGCAGATATAGAGAAATGGTGCTTGTTGGCAAATGCAACAATTTGATTGATTCTGGCTGTATAGAAATTTATTGGAAGAAAAGTTGTTCTAATAAGGCAGAGAACCAAATTTCCCACTTTTATTTCTTAATTATCTGTTCCAAATATGAAATGCTTGATTTTCCCCCTGAAATCTTAGGTGAAAAGGAAAAACAGGTTCATTTATCAGTTTTAAACACATTTTGAACACTGAGTTGAAAGCTAAGAAAAAATAAAATTTGGCAAGCAAACTTTCTGTTTTATCTAAAATTATTTCACATTTTTATACTTTCTAATAAACTGTAATCACTTTACATTTAAAACATGTTTCCAGTGAATATTATCTTTTTATTACTGAAAATTTGATTAATGATAGTAACCAATTTTAATATTTTTGTCTTTTGCATAAATTAAATTTTTAAAAATATTTTTATTGAAATAATTAACAGAATATTAGATGCCATTTGGGAATTGAAAAATACACCAACTATGCACTCACAAATCAGAAATAAACTTATTTCTGAGAAAGAAAATTATAGCAAGATTTTAAAATTTTATAATTGAAAAATAAAGTACATATATATATACATAAAAATGCAAATCAAACTTTAATATTTTCTAAAGTAGATTTTTTCGTGCACTGATTTTGAACTAAATTGCATTTTTAGGAATGATATATTCCTTCCCCCCCCCAGCAGAAAATAATTCTGTACAAATCCAGTCTTCCACACATATGTAATATAATGCATATCTATCTAAAGAAAATGTGAGCTACAATACATAAATACTTTTACATTTTTTGCAGTATAGAAGACAGAATTACAGTATATGTTTTAAAATTCACATAAAAATTAATAATCATATGTAATTTCTTTAGAATTCACTTAAAATGCCTAATAATGAAGCATTTTAAATGAATGCTTCATTATTAGGAATTTTAAGTGAATCTTTACTGTAAATCTAAGAAATTTGTATTCATAAGTGATCAAGAAAACAAATCAAAGTTTTATTTAAAAACGCGTTCTCAAGATACAGCTCACAAAATATATAAAAATCAAACATTCACAGCATGAAACTGTTTCTATAAGGAAATGATTCATTTTTAATTATAAACTAGCTGGCAGATGAGTGGGCTATGGCCAAAGCAATATTTATAAGTTCTGTGTACTGAAAAACTGAAAAGAAAATGAACTATCAACTTAACCTTCCAGCACCCACACTTGGTAATTTTACATGAGCATGCGAGCGTCATATTTTGTACAACATCCGATATTTTACCATTTTTGGCATACAATGACGTCGCATGAAATCATATGCTTTCTAATCATCAGAACATGACCTTATACAGTCAAAAGTCTTTAATCCGAACTCGTCGGGACTTCGGTGATTCCGGATTATAGATCATCAGTTTAAATCTGGTAAGATGGCATGCAGAAATAATAAAATTAAAAATATGAAACCGTAATTTATAAAGTAATGAGCAATTATGATCTAAAGGGTATCAAAATTTACAAAAAAAAGAAGCTTAATATTTATTTGTTTACTTTATTAAACATTTCTCTCAAAGCGCGCATGCGTACCTTATGCATAGCCGAAATTAGAAAATTGCAACCAGAAAACTATTTGATTTGTATTCGTGATATTTATAATGACGAGGAATTTGATTTAAATCATATCAAAGACGGAGTACATCGAGATTAAATACTACATTTAGTAAGGAATTATACGCCGAATAAAATAAAAACATCTGCCCTGAAGATAACGACAGTGGTGACAGATCAACTCCCAGTTCATTGCGCCCAGCGACGTCCCCCCCCCCGCGCAGAGCAGCGTGAAATTGATAAACAGATTTCGGAACGGTTAGATAAACAAAGGATATACCTTTATCCGTTTTTTGTAGCAATTTGGTTTTTGTTTCATGGACATCGAATCATACTTTCATTTTCTAGATCCTTTGGGAGCTCCAGCATCGGAAATTCTATTTGACATATTCGAAAGTTCAAGCTTACTTTTATAAAATTGCTCTTACAGTCTTACAGTCTGCAAAAAATAAGAAGCCGGATCCAATTCGAAGATTAAGGAACAACGCAATCATCAACATTAATTGAAATAGATAATTAGATAATTTTAGCTTATACTGTACGTTATACATTAAATGTGCACGCGAAAACGTATTCTGTGCTTGCGCAGACTCATATGCGCAGTCATAAGTATCTTGCGCGCACGCGTAAAACGCCTATGAGCATGCGTCGACGCGGCGCATGTGCAGAAAGATTTTAGCTTTGAGGTCCGGATTATGGGTGTCCGAATTAACGACTTTTGACTGTATAAAATAACATATTTAATGTCTGGCAATGCTATTTTCTTTTCACATTTTATAAGACCTTACAAAATCAACAAACTCTATAATCTGAAAGCAAGCAGTGGCAACATGTTTCAAAATAAAACATATTTTTATTTCCAGCATGCAAGACTGTTGCCACTCAGACAAATGATTGCAAAAATTAGTGTTTTCAGAATTTTTAATTAATATCTTGGCTGATTAAAGTCATATGACTTTCAGTGAGTATCTTTACTTAGTCATATGACTTTAATCAGCCAAGAGAATGGTCGAACTGGATTCCCACGAATTTTTGGAATCCGGGGGTACCACTCTTGAAACTCAACACTGTTCCAGAGGAGTTGATGCCACTAACAGATAGATGTACAAAGATTTTAATAGTATACATTAAGCCCCCCTTTTTAGAATTATGTATAAAAAAACTTCATAATTATTTAAATTAATAAGTTTGGCTTATTTGATTATGTCAAAGCACTCAAGGGCTATTTGCCTAAGAAAGAGAACGCCTTTCTGGAGGAATTTTGAAGGGAAACTGGTTTATATTTACCTTACATACGGGAAAAGCCTTGAAAATGCATATGCAGCCAGCCTGTTCACTGGGATTCAAAATCTGAACCGAACTACCAGTATATAGCGAATTTACCACTTGGCCACTGGCGGGTCCTCAAAAAATACAATTCAGATTATCCATATAAAAATATATTTAAAAAAAATTCCCAAAAAAACCCAAACACTTTTCATATCAGAACAATAAAATTATCATCATATTTACCCAATTAAAAATATATATTTGTTTTAAAAATTGATATATAGATTATGCAAACTAAAATTCTTGTATTTAGCGTAGATATAATGAAACACTCAATCAATTTCGAGGGCAGCTAAAGGTCCCTCCTCATCAGGAGAAAGAAATACCTAGAAAGAAGAAAATAAAGGAGAAGGAGTCACAGAAACACATGGTCCTTATCAGCACTGCACGTGGTTATAACTAGATTTTTAATCAGAGTTGCACTGGCCGCCTACTTTTACTGAGCCAGGCTGTCTGATCAAGCAAAAAGGACAAGAAAATTAGCGAAGTTAAAATAGGGAGCGAGGGGCAAATGCACCTTACGTTCAAAATCTAAACTTCAAATAATGGAAAGCAACCACTGAACGGATTTTTACACCCTCTGGTAGTACCAAACGCGAGGAGGTAACGCCATCTATCGGCAAAAATAACTGAATTAAGATAGTAGAATTTTAAAGGCATTAGGAAGGACTGGATTGGACTTCAAATCATTAACTAAACCTGCTAAATCTTTGTGAATGTGAAAAAGCCTCAAGAAAATCCAATTCACCTATGGAAGAAGCCTTTTGGATATTTTTGCAGATCCCAAAATCAAAAATTATGTTTAAAAGTCCAACATGATACGCTATTGAAGACTTGTTAATTTCGCCTTTTCTGACATAAGATTCATGTTCCTTGATACGAAACTTCAACGCTCTTTTCGTTTGGCCGATATATCTTAAACCACACTGACACGATATACTATAAATTCCCCAAGAATTCAAGACAGAAACGCAATCTTTAGAATCGAAGGGTGAATTTATTAATAGGGGAGAAACCGACTTGAAATTGAATTTCTGGAGAATCCTTGAAATTTTATAGCTACAGAAGGATAAAATGGAAGCACGACAAGGTCATTAATATTATTTCTAACAGTGGAATGTCTTCTTGATGGGAATCTGAAAATTTTTTAACAGCTTTATCAAAAATCATGGGAGAAAACCACGGTCAATCGCAACTGCTCTCAAATAATTGGCCAAATATTTAGTTTCCAGATTTTCTCCTCTGCTAACAATATTCACACTGTAAAAAATTTGTTGAAGTCATGATAAACTTTAAAAATATTCTCCACTTTCGTTCCATTATGTTTCATTTGATGTCAAATCACTATTACTAATGTTCCAGTCGAAGAAGCACTAATTGTCTTGAAACTAGGCTTCGGGAATTTCACTTCACATATACTGAAATTATTGAGTAGTTTCGCTTACTAAAGTTTCTCTAAGTCAAACCCACTTTGTTTCCAAATTGCATATTTTGTCAAGTTGAAGGATTGGCTATGGGTAATCCTCTCAGTCCGGTACTTGCTGACATTTATATGCCTATTTTGAGATGAAATTATTTGATAAACTATCTTTTCGTCTTAGATTCGGTATGTGACGACACTTTCACACTTTTTGACGGTTAACAGAGATTTATCCGAGATTCTATCTATTATGAATTCAATTGATCCAGCCATCCAATTCACTCTGAAATTGAATCCAACAATTCCCTCCTCTTCCTCGATATTCTTATAATCCGCAATGAAACTGATTTTAGCACCACTGTCTACCGTAAACCTTTTGCAGTTTGTTAACCACCCCATGCCAAGTCATGCCACCCTGTTAAGCAAAAAATGGCTTCTTTTTACTATTATGTATTTCGCACGCTTAAAGTTTGTTCCTCTGAATCTTTGCTTACCAATGAACTTAATTATTTGAGAGCAGTTGCGATTGACCGTGGATTTTCTCCCATGATTTTTGATAAAGCTGTTAAAAAATTTTCAGATTCCCATCAAAGAGACATTCCACTGTTAGAATAATATTAATGACCTTGTCGTGCTTCCATTTTATCCTTCTGTTAGCTAAAAAATTGCACGGATTCTCCAGAAATTCAATTTTCAAGTCGGTTTTCTCCCTATTAATAAAATTCACCCTTCGATTCTAAAAGATTGCATTTCTGTCTTGAATTCTTGGGGAATTATAGTATATTGTGTCAGTGTGATTTAAGATATATTGGCTAAACAAAAAGAGCGTTGAAGTTTCGTATCAAGGAACATGAATCTTATGTCAGAAAGGCAAAATAACAGTCTTCAATAGCGTATCATAGTTGGACTTTTAACCAATTTTGATTTTGGGTCTGCAAAAAATATCAAAAGGCTTCTTCATAGGTGAATTGGATTTTCTTGAGGCTTTTCACATTCACAAAGATTTAGCAGGTTTAGTTAATGATTTGAAGTCCAATCCAGTCCTTCCTAATGCCTTTAAAATTCTACTATCTTAATTCAGTTATTTTTGCCGATAGATGGCGTTACCTCCTCGCGTTTGGTACTACCAGAAGGTATAAAAATTCGTTCAGTGGTTGCTTTCCATTATTTGAAGTTTAGATTTTGAGCGTAAGGTACATTTGCCCCTCGCTCCCTATTTTAACTTTGCTAATTTTCTTGTCCTTTTTGCTTGATCAGACAGCCTGGCTCAGTAAAAGTAGGCGGCAGTGCAACTCTGATTAAAAATCTAGTTATAACCACGTGCAGTGCTGATAAGGACCACGTGTTTCTGTAACTCCTTCTCCTTTATTTTCTTCTTTCTAGGTATTTCTTTCTCCTGATGAGGAGGGACCTTTAGCTGCTCTTGAGATCGATTGAGTGTTTCATTATACCTACGCTAAATACAAGGTTGTTTTTACGATTTTTATTGTCACATTAGCGTGTTTCTCTTCTAGTCTAAAATTCTTACTTCGTAGGAACCTATTTACAATCCACTTCATCTGCTTCCTGGCATACTGTCTTGTAACTAACTTCATATCTTCTATTGCTGCAAAAATAAGTATTACTTTTAGTTTTATTTATAATAATTAGAAAGAAAACTTAGAATATAAAATGAATGAGATTTCAAAACTTCCTCAAGATCGATTTAAAGAGATTCCTCAAACTGATATACTCAATTCCCAATGATCTGGATGTGGTTTATCTATGCTTTATCCCTCCCCTCCAAAATAAATAAATAATTAATTAAATAAAATGAGAGATGAAGTCTGCATATGCTAAAGTATAAGAAATATTTTATATTTATCAATCGAGAATGACAAGTTATTTCCAAGAACATTTTTTTGCAGTAGGCAAATATTAAGGTAGACAAATGCATTTCATGGTTACAAAATTTGTCAGTGGGTATCTTTACTTAGTTTTCCTTATTGTTTGGCATTATGAATTTTGCATTTATTTTTAAATAATTTTAGTGTTGCAGTATTTTTTGTATAATGTAACATTAAATGCCTCATGAGACAGAACTCTGGTGGAAAAATAAGATTATAGGCGCAAGTCTATCTAAACACTGAGGTAAATGGCTATCTATCTAATGGGAGATACATCACCATGTTTGTGATGGTTTTAGGAGACTAATTTTTGTTGCCAAATGTGGTGAGAAATCGCCAAAACTCGCTAAATTTGGCGGTATGGTCCAGTCCCTGTGTAACTGTAATCGGTATTGTAACTGTATCCAGCCCTTATATGTAATTTTGATCATATATGCCTTCTAATAATTTCAAGAAATTGAAAGTAGGTTTCCAGGTGGCTGGGGGAAACTAATAAGACTAGAGAGAACATCAGTTCTCACTTTTTCAATTAACAGTACGTTTTAGAGAACTGAAAGATCTCTGTGTGAACTTCAATCTTTAGATGCACTTTTGCACTGTGTTGTATATAACATTCCTAATAGTTTGAAGTGGTAAATACTGATTGTGATTTGTCATATTGAAAAGAGCTGTATGAGTACTTTTGTGGAATGCTCTAGAATGGTAAAATGTTTCTTTTTGAAAAATAAATTCTATCAAGCTATGATCATTTCGATGTGCATTCAGCCAACTACGAAGCTGTATACACATAACAATTTTTGGTGTCAGAAGTTGGATTGAATGCTGGTAAGAAAAGTGGTGAAGAAGCAACAACGAAAACAATTGATAGCCTTTGTGACATTTAAGGAAGAGATGAAAGCAGACCAAGAATTTGTTAAAGAGGAGATAAAAGCTCTTTAAGAAAGGAAGGAAGCAAGTCAAGAATCCATTAAGGGAGAGATGAAAGCTGTTCAAGAAAGAATGAAGCAGGTCAAGAGGAAATGAAAAGAAAAATTTCTGCAATAATAAAAAACAAGTTTGAGGCTATAGAAAACAGAATAAACATGGCTGAAAATGAAGTTGAAGAAAGAGTTTCTACTGTCGAACAACAAATTGGTGACAGAGTTTCTGCTGCTGTATGAAGGAAAATAATAATTTGAAGAAATCCATAGCTGAGCACAATGCTGATGCCTTTGTGCCCATAACTATGTCTTCCCAACCCTGTCTAAAGCAATTAACATATGGTGAAAATGTTTCTTGGCAAGTATACAAGACTCAGTTCTCTATATTGGCAAACACAAATGGATGGGTTTCCGAAGCTCTAATCGGTGATCTGAAGCTGTGCTTTGGCGAGAAATGTTTAAAAGACTATAGCAGTCTACGAATAAAATCTTGCAAACAGAAGTCCATGAAAACACTCCAGGAGCTCGCTACAGACATTGAAAGACTATCTCATCTCACCTTTTTGGACTGTCTAACAAAAACAAAGGAAATCCTGTGGCTGCAGTACTTCATTGATGGCATCTGGGATCCTGAGATACAGAAAGCCCTGTGAATGGCAGATATCAATGATCTAGAAAATGCTTTAGTGTATGCCATGAATTTTGAAGCAGCCGAGTAAGCAACCCACAGAGACTGCCAATCAGAGCTACTAATGTCCAGAAGCCAGTAGACCAACTGACTGTTCAACTAGATGATCCAACCAGGCAATTCAATGTTTTAAAGTAGAACATGAATAGCAACAAGCTGATCCTGAAGTGCTGGAACTGCAATGCAGAAGGCTGCATATGAAGGAATTGCAGAACACCCGGAGGCACAGAAGCTAAGACCACTTCCCAGCAAGGAGGCAGGAAACAAATTAGTGACCATCTTATAAAGTAGAGGTTACTAGATACTCAGAAGCCTGATTTTAAAGTGCTTCAGATTTCTGCAGTGAGTGACAGTTGTAATAGATTTTTCATCATGGGTCATATCAACGGATGTTACTTGCAATATGACCTTGATACTGGAGTAAATATACCTATCATACAAAAAGATGTGTCTCAACAACTGGAAGGTACATTCATTCGAATGCCACCCTGCCTTACCCTTCAGATGCTGTCTGGTGACAAAATCAACATCAATGAAAAGTTGAACATTAAAATCATGTTTGGAAGTGCCACCTACTATCGCACAGCATATGTGGTAGATATTACAGACCCTTTCATACTTCGATTAGACTTTCTAAGGAAATACAATTTTCCCTTGGACTCTAAAGAAGTCTGATGCATTCACCAAATAACAGCTCAGGATGATATCACAATACCAGTCAGAACTGAATGCTACCTGGATCCACAGCTGAAAACAGAAATTTTCGGTACAATGTAATGGAATATCCTAATAATTGTAACACCCCATGAGGAGTACTATGCAATAGGTCAACCTAAGTTGAGAATACTGGATATAGTACAAAGTGTATGTGTACACCGTGGAATAAAGGTCGAGCATTTTGAGAAGTATTGTAAAAATTATGCTGTGAAATTTGAATATTGTTTAGCAAAGAAAATGGATGGGGAAAAAATGTGTGAAAATATAGATTACATTCCATTCAAACTTTTTATTTAAAAGTTTGCATAATGTCCATCATTCCATGACCAAGAGAAAGACATCCTCTTTTTTTAATTATTGGCAAAACTGCAATTTCCAGCAACTGCGAACTAACTCCACTCTTGATGAGAAAAGCAATTAAAGCATGCATTCATTCACTGACTGTGAGGAGAAGAAATTAACTGTTATAGTGTCTGCTACATTTTTGACATATGTGTATAATTTTCAATCTTATAAGGCTGGAAAACCATGAGGAAGTTCTGCTAAGATTATCACTATGAATGCTTCTCTCAAATTATGAGTGCATTTTCTTAGTAAATCTGATAGTAAAATTGTTATTTTTGCTGCTGATTTGACTAGTGTTTCTGTGACAAGCATAAATCACATCAAACTCAAACTAAAAGAAAAAAAAAAAAAAAAAAAAAAAAAAAAAAACAATGGATTTCTGACTCCATGGGGGGGGGGAAGACTTCTGAAAGTTGGTATGCAAACCTGAATGAAATGACATAAAGAGCTAACTTTATCAACAATATGAAGGAAAGTTCACTGTTTCTTTTTACAAAATGAAATTCCTACTATACAAAAAGAGGCTAAAATTATAAACAATGAAGCTTATTTTGCTAAAAATGTCCATTTAATCATTAGGATGAATAATGAAGGATTTCTAAAATTTTTATTTTATTTATTTTTTATTTTAAGCAGTAATAAACAAGATAGGACAGGACATACTGTGGGAGGGTGATTGTCTGGGTATTACTGAAAGAGTAAGCATCTTAGGAGACCATTAATACAAGATATAGTTTTTATAATGTCTGCTATTAAAAATATTTAAGAGTTTTTTAAACAATTGCAAATTAATATCTAACTAATATCTCAGAAAATAAAAATCAAAACCTCTGCTTCATTGTTATGGAAGCAGCAAACTGCACAAACTATGTAAAATAAATAACTACCAAATTTACTAAATTTATATGTTTTGATTTTAGCCAAGCCAATGGTCTGGGTGGAAAAATTTAACACAAACTGCAAGGAATATATTGTTAGCTCCTCTGTTTTAAGTTTTAAGTAACCATTTGTATTTTAAATGTTATCAAAGTTGTATATGTCACATATACATATTAGTGAAAATTTTCATAGAAATTAAGAAAATGAATTATATGCCCTACATTTTATCCTATAATTAACTATTACGTTCAACTTTCATCATATAAAAATATTGTTAATTATATATGGTGGATCTGGCAAGAAGTTGCCAAACATGCAGAAAATTGGAGGAATTGAGCATCTGCAGGCAGTTTGGTGTGTATGGATAACTTGAAGAACAAGGTGAAAAGCAACAAAAAGGTCGTTCTAGCCTTGAATGTGTTCTCAGGTCAGATTGTCATGAGGTATAGAACACTCCAAGAACAAATAAAACCAAAAATAAGACCACTCCCCATCAAGGACACAGGAACTAATTAGTGGCCAACTCATGGGGTGAAGTTTACGAGAAAATGAGAAGCCCCATTTTTAAGCACTTCAGGTTTTTGCAATGAATGATGGGACATATACATGGAGTTCCTTGAAATATGGCCATTGATACATGAGCCTAGTGTTACCATTATTCGAAAAGATATGACTTTATAATTTGAAAGTTAACTCATCTGGATGATCCTCTGCATTATCCTTCAGCCTCTGTCTAGTGATAAAATCATCAATGTAAAGCAAGACATGAAAATCTTGTCTGGAAGCGCTACCTATTATCACATGGAATACATGGAGAAATTATAGACCCTTGAATACTGGGATTAGACTTTTTAAGAAAGTACAAATTTTCTTTGGACTTAAAAAAAATAACAAACTGCATTCTGCCTCTGAGGACATGTTTGGACATGTCTGCCCCTGTTTGGAATGAAAGATAAGAGAGCTAACTCCCTGCACAAAAACATAGCTTAAGATAACATCACAGTACAACCAAGAATGGAATTTTCACTACTTAGATGAAGAGCTGAAAACAGAAATTTTCGGTCCAGCACAATGGAATATCCTAGGAACTGTAACAACCCCAAAGTTATATATAGACCAACTATATAGTCTCAATACTCATCGATGTATCGAGGACCATCATCCCACTGACAGTCATCAATGTAAGTAAAAAAGTGAAAGTTACTGGGAAAGGTGAAGTGATTGTAGTATGTACTCCACTGACTTGCATTAAATGAAACAATAGTCTGCCAATCATTGTGCCTTCAGAGAGCCTAATATCAGTTATTGTAGAATGCACAACTAAGCGATGAAGGGAGGAGTTTTAATAAATGTGTCTTTCAGAATTTCAAGATGTTTTTCCCCACTCATCTTCTGACATAGGTCGAACCAGTTTGACTGACAGAGAATAATATATGATATATATATATATATAAAACCACACAATTTTCAATCTTTAAAATGGAAGAAAAGTGAAATACTGAAGACAGCAGACATCAGAATCTCTTGCATAATAAACAAATTTAAAATACTATGAAACCAAAAATAATATTAAGTTATATACATTTTGTTTCATATTAAACAAAATGAAATTTTTTACACTACATAAATTTTCAGAACACATAAACAACTTTATACAAAATCTTAACTGATAAAATAATGTCAAATGTAGTGTATGTAAAAATCAATAAATTTTACCTTTGCCCAAAGCTTTTTTACCACTGGCTTCATTTCTTTTTTCTTCAGGAAGAATTAAATATTCATGGAATTCTTTAAATCCTATTGACTGAAATATGCCTTCAGTATATGAGGGTTTTCTACAAAATATTTAAATTACATTTTTAATTGATATAAAATCAGAAATAATAACAACAATAATAATAATATACTGATACTTCCCATTTATGAAAATGAATTTATAATCAAAACAACTTTCCTTTCTCTTCACTGTTAAAGAATAAATTTCTCTTTGTTATAACAAAAAGCAATGCCACAAGGAGGAAATATTTTAACCACAATTTTGTCAGGAGATGATAATATGCATCAAGGTTTATATTTTGTTAAATTTTAACCTTTCTCGATCCATTTTTGAGAACTCCATCCTAGCATATTTACTGACTGTATTCTTTTGAATATATTAGATGCTAGATAATGCATTAAATAATTGAATACAGTGCTAAAATGTTATAAGAATAGTGAATGATATCCAGCAATCCCTATTGTAATGAAATAGTTATTTCACAATTCTTCCAGGTTGAAAAGGATTCCAGGATTTTATATTTGTAAGTTTCTTTTCTTTAAATTATGCTTGTGAAATTTTTATTAAATATAGGAAATAAGTAATAAAAATTTAACAAGCATAATTTAATAATTCTAATAAAATTCAAATTACTTGTATAAATTTTAATTGAAGTATTAAATATGTATGATCCATTATTAGACTATATAAAGTATTTTTACCGAGTTAACCCAGTTCACACCAATGCAATCACACCTTCGGGAGGAAAGAGCTGACCAATCAGAAGCGAGCTTAGAGGCGACATTTTCCGGACAACCGGAGAACATGCGAGTTGACTTAACTTTTCAACCTTCACGGGTCAGTTTTAGGCATCTCATTTCAAGCGTCCAGTTTATACCAGTTTTTAAAGGATTGCACTTTCAAAAATTCTTTTTGATGAAAACAAAAAGTCAAATGGACTAATCTTAATAAAAATTTCAGATAATAATAAAAAAAATGCATATGATAATAGAATAAATAGCTTTATAAATTACTTAAGGGAAAATTCTCAAGTTTATTAGCAGTAATAAACCTTAATAATCAACCATAAATTATATATGGTTGATAATTTTTATGGAATAAACTGAAGCAATAGATTGTTGCGAGAAAATAGTGATGGATTTTGAAATCCAAGATTTTGAATTTTTTTCAGAATATATCTACGTCAATTTAATGTTGCTCTTGTTGCCTAGTGAATAAAACATTGGCTTTTTGAGTTAAAGACTTTGGATTCAAGCTTCACCAGAAGTGATGTTGTAATCGAGATGGTATTTTAAAAAAATATATTTATAGAAAATGTTATTGCTAGTTTCAAGTAGCACAGATGCTTCTTCAGTTTCCTGAAGGTGAAGTGTGAAAACCGTACATACCCGCAAGATACCTTAGCGCTGAGGTAACACGCTCAAGTAGAAAATTCAGCTGGTACTAGGGAGTTGTATTGTGGGTTCGGGCCTTGCTTTTTCCTACCTTTGATAATGGTACTAATACACTACATATATATTTTTTTTAATCTACCGTGACTTTTATTTTTTGGGGGGGGGCACAAGAAGCTTGCATTTATTCTCATTTCATTTCATTCATATACACCTAATTTTCACTCAGCATTGTGTGCATTATCCTTGTTTTGACAACGAGCCTTTGGTATAATTCATAAGAAGATCTGACTACTACGATCTGATTCTATTTCAGCTGACATGAGACTAGCAGAAGCGATAATAGTGTTAATATAAAGTTGCTGTTTCATCTAATTAAAAAATTTAGTTAGTTCTGAATTTTATATGAGTGGTGATGAGTAAATCATTTGTTTAAAAAAATTAAGAAAACTGTTATTTATACAGAAAAGAAGCTCGCTAGTATGTAGCTGATTTTATGGAATATTTCTATGCATTTTAATGGCTTCATGGTTGTTTTTCTTAACATGCATGACCACTTTTCAAACAATTTAGATATGAACTTAACCAGGGGTTTAATTTAAAGAACTTTTACATGAGCATTAGCAGATTTGCTACCTGTGGAATTCAATTTTTAATGCAGAAAAAGAAGTATTATATAAAATTCAGCTACTTCAATGAGTTTTAGATAAAAGTGACTTAAAAAATTAAATTTTTAGATAGTTGTTGTTCATTAATATATGAATGACTAATTGAAGTAATTACTGTTATATAAGGTAAAAAATATGTACTGTAATATCTTGTTATTTAATAAATTTATTTATTGTTGAAGTGGCAATGCCATTTTTGTATTATGTAACCGTTGCTCAGCAACGTGAGAAATTGTTTAAAAAAAAAATGAGATTCTGAAGTTTTACCAGCTAGGAGTAGTATGAAAGTTTCGCCACTAAAGAATTTCTTCAAATTATCTATCTCCATGAACTAGAAATAAAATTTATGTTCTACTAAGAAGATTGCCTGTTTTGTCAATTACTGCAAAATACATTACAGTCTTAATTAATTGGAGGTTCTACCGAGATACTGGAAATTAGGAGTGCAAATATCAGTTTCGATGGTGATGGTCTCCTAATCCCAGAAAGCTGCTGAAAGTTTTGAGAACAAGTTTGGTAGTACCAATTGAAGTTTATTTCAAGGAGAAATGGATGTCAGAAGTCTGCCGTTTTAAAGCCAGATTTTGAAGCAGATCATTCAAAGGTTATCTTCTGTATTTCTATAACTTGTGTCGCAGCACAGAATTGGCAGAACAGGATATTAATGATCTCTGAAGATAAGATTAACTTTTGGTTTTCTTAAAAAAGCTTTTATTGAATTTTAATGCTTTGTTTCAGAATTATAGTAATATCGTGTAAGATTTTGTTTAAAATAACTGACACTAAAAATATTCAGCTTAAATTTATAATTGCTATTTGTGGTAAAGAAGTATTTAAAAAATATTGTTTATGCTTACTTTTACTTGTTTTGAATTTTTTTGTTGATATTTGATATATGCAAGCCATACTGACATTTATATATATATATATATATATATTAAAAAAAAAAAAGAACTGTTAGCTGAGTTTTTGAATTTGTTGCCAAGCAGGCGCGTGGAAAATAAGTAGTAACGTCAAACTGACATAGTGTGACTTGATTATACTATACTGCAGAATTGGCAAAAGTCTTATTTAGTTCTCGCCATCCAGGCATGTGGTAGATAGTAACGTCATCCCGACGTATTACAGATTGTATATTCTAAAAGTTGTATTGCCAAACTGGCAAAAATTGTTTTTGTTATCGCCAACCAGGCGTGCAGATAGATAGTAAAATCGTCAAACTGACGTGAGTAAAATTCCATTGTTTTGCCTAACTGGCAAAGGTGTTTATATAGTTATAGCTAACGAGGCTTGTGAATAGTGAGTTTAAACGTCAACGTCAACCGATGTGTAGTATTATTATTTTTTCTGCCAACCTGGCAAAGTTGTTTAAATAATTCTCTCCAATTGGTTAGTGTAAATTTCGTATTCGAGAAATAAAGTCTCTCCAGAAATTATACATTTTTAATACTAGTACGATCTTTTAGATTCAATTTCAAAAGGAAGCCTAATAAAGGTAACTTGTGTCAACATGTCATTCTTAGCTAGAAGTAAAAAACAGGATTTAAAAGTACTAGTAGAAGAGTTAGGTTTAACCATGAAACCTGAATTTAAGATTGCTCAGTTGCATACATTGATTACTGAAAGTCCCGGTTATGGTGAGGAGTTTACTCGAGAACTACTGGCTGCAATTAGAGAAGAAAGGGAAAGAAAAGAAGAATGCAAAAGAGAAGAAAAGAAGAACGCGAAAGAGAAGAAAGAGAAAGAAAAGAAGAATGTGAAAGAAAAGAAGACGTGAAAGAGAAGAAGAACGCGAAAGAGAAGAAAGAGAAAGAAAAGAAAGAAAAGAAGAATGATAAAGAGAAGAAAGAAGAGAAGAACGTGAAAGAGAAGAAAGGGAAAGAAAAGAAGAGCGTGAAAGAGAAGAGCGAATTAGAGCCTTTGAGCTACAGAAACTTCAGTTGGAAGCAATGGCTGCAACCACAGACGGTAGAAATACTACGCAGTTTACCTGAGCAGCCTTTAAAATCAAAATTCACGATGTCATGCCATGTTTCAACCCTAAAGAAGATGAAATAAGTTTATTTCTGGCGTTATTTGAGCGTCAGCTAAAATAATGAATATACCTGCTGAAAATCAAGTGACTCAACTTATTTCATTGCTGCCGCCTGATATTGTTCAACCTATTCCTAGAGAACCAGAAGAGGACGCGAAAAAGTATGAATATGTAAAAACTTTACTGTTACAATGAATTAAATTGAGTGCGGAAAAATTTCGACAACTATTTAATAAACACCAAAAATCTACTGAAAGTACTTGGTTTGATTTCTATTATGAATTAAAGAATTATTTAGAGGGATGACTTAATGGATTAAACATTAAAACTTTTAAACAGCTAAAAGATCTCATGCTGGTTGATCAAATAAAAAAGCATACTTCTCTGAATTTCAAAGAACATTTTATGGATCAATGGACAACCATAATTTCACCTACTGAGATGGTTAAGAAAATTGAAAATTTTGAAGATGTGAGAAAAATAATAAAACCGAAATTTTATGCCAGTCAAACTAAGAGATTTAACAAAGGATCATTTAAACCTCGTTCCGAAAATTTTGCGAAAAAAATAGAGCATACGCCTCATTTTAAGCATTCTGATAAATGGGATGATGCAAAATACCAGAAAGATCATCGACAAAGAAATCAGTTCCAAAACAAAAACCAAGAAAATTTATATGACAAAAGATATCGACCACGTTGTTTCGAGTGTAGGTCATTCGAACATTTTAAGTCTCAGTGCCCTCATTTAAAATCAAAGGAAAAGGTAAATTGCGTATCTTGGAATGATGATTTGTTACAGACATATACAAATTAACGGTTTAGTTAATGGGTATGAAATATAAATGCCTATTCTTCGAGACACAGGAGCCACTGTTCATATTATTTCTCGAAAATACATAGATAACGCAAAAATGAAAATGACTAGAGAACATGTCAGGGAACAATATATTTTAAATGACCATTTAGTGTGTCTACTGTTAGCGGAAGATGGAAATTAATTGTGAACTTAGGTCATATAAATACAAAGGCAGCTGTTGTTACAAATGATCCCGGAAGATACGTATTGGGTAATAAAACTGCCCAGTTGTTCAGAGAATAAACAATTTTTAAATTTAGAAAAAAATAAATGCGGTTTTTGACATGATCTCAAGTAAAACGATCTCGTGAAGAAGATCGAAGTAGAGATACTAAAATGGGGAAACCAGAAGCACTGTCTGTTATTGAGACTGATGAAGATATTTTAATGCAAGCTGATGAGGAAGACAAATAAATGAAGAAAGTAATTAATGTTAATTCTAAGGAATTAATTGAATCTCAAAATCAAAGTAGAGATCTAGCCTCATTGCTTAGAAAAGCTAAAAGTGAAAATTTCATCAACACAGATGATTTCAAAGAAAAAGAAAACAGGTTGTTGGCGAAAAAGAAAATAGATAAAAATGAAAATGAAAGGGAATTAATTGTTATTCCTAAAAAATATACGGATCAAATGTAGAACTATACATCTTTGATACAGAACCAAACAAATAATAGTGCTAAAATTCAGGGTAATTTGGTCATTCACCCCTCCTAAAAGTCAAGCTTCTCTCAATGCTTCACAGAAATCTAACAAACAATCTAAGTGTTCACCTCCTGATGAGAAAACTGAAGTTATTTATATGGAAGTTCACTCACCTCATTTACCTAGTTATTCATCTTCTATGGATAGCGTAATATGATTATTCCCCTACCAGTTCTTTAGTTCGTTCTTCCTCAAAAAGCAAACATGTGTTTGACAGTTTGTTAACAACAGATCAAAGAACTTCTGATAAAAGAACTCACAAAGGTGCTTTTAAAGCTAAGAAATTAAAAATATGTTCAGAATCTAAGCATGCGTCAGAAAACTTAGCAAAGAGGCATAAACATGATGAAGGATACTCAAAGTTGCCACAGAGTGCAAGTAGCAGATAACAACAAAGATTCATCTCGCAAAGAGCAAAAATTATTTGACAAGAAAGAACTGACAAAATTAAACGATTCTCAGTTAAAAGTTCCAGATGAATTGCCAAGTTCTGGAGTTGAGATGCAAGTCAAAGAGAAGTTTTTAAAGAATCTAAACAGATGAGAGCGAGTTGTTGAAGAAGTAAAACTGTCACAAAAGCCTGTGTCACACTCACCTGATTTCAATATGGAGTTTATTTTGCAAATTGATGTTTCAAACTCTGGGTGTCATTTTAGCTCAAAAAGATGAACTAGACAATGAACATACCAGTATTTATACATCAGTAAGAAAGTTTACAGAAACTGAAAAAAGGTACTCAACCACAGAAAAAGAGTGTGCCGCAATAATATTTGCTGTAAAGAAACTTCAATGTTATTTAGACAGGCATACTGAATTCTTCATCATGACCAATCATAACCCCTTAGTTTGGCTCAAAAATAATGTGAGTCTAAATCCACGACTTATGAGATGGGCACTAGTACTACAACCCTACAATTACACGGTCATTCATCGAAGTGATAAGAACCATAAAAATGTAGACGCATTAAGACTCCCTGGCCTGATTAAATAATTTTTTTCTCTATATAATAAAAAAAAAAAATATTTTGTTCCTTCCTCTCTTCCTCAGTGTATGTTATTATGTTATTTCTTGTTTAATTCTTTAAATTCTTGTATTTCAGTTCTGCATTGTGCTGATATTGTTGTTTTGAGAGGGGGGGGAACCGTAAACTTTAATTTTTAAAAATATAAATTAAAGTTTATCTGGAAGGGGAAGAGGTTGTAATATCTTGTTAATTAATAAATTTATTTATTATTTAATTAATTTATTGTTGAAGTGGCAATGCCATTTTTGTATTATGTAACTGTTGCTCAGCAACGTGAGAAATTGTTTTAAAAAATGAGATTCTGAAGTTTTACCAGCTACGAGTAGTATGAAAGTTTCGCCACTAAAGAATTTCTTCAATTATCTATCTCCGTGAACTAGAAATTAAATTTATGTTCTACTAAGAAGATTGCCTGTTTCGTCAATTACTGCAAAATACATTACAGTACATAAGGCAGAAACTAAAACATTTTAAAAAAAAATTGCTGTTGTTTATTAACTCAAAATTAACTGCTTTTTTAAGTGTTATATTTAATCTAGTTAATGCTGTAAATCTTGCATATATTTAAACAAAATATACTTTTTTATAGCATTATTTAAATCAATTAAGGGAAATTCATTTAAGGAAGCTTTTAAGGGAAGTTCATACATCATGCCAAAAAAATTATGGTATTCTACCCTATGAAAAATTTACTTTCTAAAATAGAATTAGGATTTTTTAATTATTATTCAACAAAATTAATAAATAAAATTAGTTACATACAGCATTAGATATATACAACAATCCTTTTCTAGGATATCCTATTCCTATCTTCCAAATGATGCTTTTCTGTAATTTGACAAAATTAAGTGTTGGTTTGATAAAAGGATGAGGTGTCATACAAAAGTATTTCATTCAAGCACATTTCTTCAAAATTATTTGTGTCTCCTTGCTGCAGTCATCTCTCACATATTAATATAAACCACTGCATTCTGCTTCTCTTACACAAAGCAAGAAATAAAATAAGTTTTAATCAAGGATAAATTAAATCCATTTTAATTAAAAAATGTAATTGTAAAAAATCAAAATACCACACAAAAATTTCACATTTTCCCTCAAGTTTCTGATATGAAGAGCCATCTAGTGCGAGCATATGACAACTTTTAATGTGAAAGTTGCTGTATTGGTGTGAACTGACGTATGTAGAAAGCATTTTTTTTCCGTATTACCACTTTTCGCCCCAACGGACCAGTGTGAACGCAGCTTTAAGGGGGAATCCTAAGCAATAAAATATTTTATAAGGAATGTAATATGTGGTGTCAGAAACATCACTGGAAACGTGTGAATGTGTGTTGTGGTGTGAACTGACATATGTAGAAACCATTTTTTTTCCCGTATTGCCACTTTTCGTCCCAACGGACCAGTGTGAACGCAGCTTTAAGGGGGAATCCTAAGCAATACAATATTTTATAAGGAATGCAATATGTGGTGTCAGAAACATCTCCACTGGAAACGTGTCTGAATGGCGTTTTAATTTGAATAGTTTTTAAAAGTTATGTAGCATTGATCTGTATAATTTCTAGCATTTAGTAGAAATATAGTACTGTACATAAACAGGAGGAGAAAGTACATGCAATTTTTTCTTTTAATAACAAAAAAATTTTACTTACTCACTTGCTAAACGTTTCTCATTATAGCACTTATGGAATTCTAGCAGTTCATCAACTAGTCCTGTCTTTATCATATCATCAACACGGTCATTCAACCGTTGCTCCAAAACTATTGGAAAATAAAATTATCAGCCATTCATAAATAAAATAATTGATTATAATACTTTTACCTATTTTAAATAGAGTGCCAATAAATAAATAAAAAAATACAAATTCCATTTTGTTCTTTTTTCAAATGTGAATTCTTATCATAATATATTATATGTTGCTTAGAGATTTTAATAAATCAAATTCACATTGCAAGCAAATTTAATCTTATGATTTTAAAAACATTATATCCACTAATGTAATTAAAGATTAATCACTTAATCTAACTTAAAGCAAACATAAAACAAATATAATGATAAACAATAAAAGAAGATTAACAGTTAAATTTTCTAAATTTTGAACTGTCACTTTTTTAACTCAAAACATTAATTTAACAGCTAACAATTATGCTAATACACCCAATTTTCTATAAATGCCATGTAAGTTTACTGGCATTTAATGTACAATTTTAGTTCATACTCTTAATATATTAATTTTCGAAAAAGTTGTGAAGATTAAGGTTAAAATCCCTGCCATGTTTCTTACAGCAGAGATTTATAACTTGCATAGCATCATGATTTGTTTTCTTGCTAAGTATAACATTTTGGATGGCCAAGAACATTGCATTGCATTAAATACAAAGTGTCCCATACAAAATTCAGCTAGTACTTTAAGGTAAAAATACCTGAATAAATACAATCAGAATATCTGATTAACCCATTAATGACTGCACAAAATTTCACTTGAAAGATATATACATATATCTAAAAAAATTTTTTTTACGTATTAGAGTCTAATTAAGAGAAAAATGTGACAGGAAAAAAAAAAAAATAATATTTATTTTTACTGAAGATACAGAATGTTGCAAAAGTGCAATACTAGTGAAAACTGATTACTTTTGGGATGCATGGAAATCTTTGAAACATTTATTGTAGAAAGGCACATTATGTTTAGCACAAAATGTTATCATTTTATTACAACAGTATTTGCATCTTTTTCTTTTGCTTGTTGAATTTTTCTCGAAAATGTGATTTGCGGGATTCTTTCTCATTTTACTTAAGGCTACATTCCAAATGCAAGATGGTCAATATATGAAGATATAAATTATATATATAAAGGCTGCAAATTTTTGGAATATTCCATTGTTTTCAACAATGCCAGAAAAGCACTTTTTTTGAAAATCTAATAGGAAAATTTTGGAGTCTAGAGCAATCTTATAAAGTTCTTAGCATTTGATTTAGATATATCAATAAAATTAGTAAAAATATTTTGCTGTCATTTTTTACCTTTTACTTGCACTTCATATACATCACAACAAAATTGTTCAGAAGAGCCACACTATCCATATAATTGTTGAAATTTTTGATGAATTTAGGTTTCTTGAGTATCTCTTAGTCAGTAAATGTGGATCAATTGTGTCAAAGTTAGTTGCCACAGTAACAATGGAATTGTCTTTCCAACAAACTACTACGATGCTATGATCCTTGTTAAATATGGTGTCATATGTTCAACATTCTTCTATCTTCATTTTGTTTTACAGGTACAATAGGACAACTTCCTAATCTGTTCTCAAAAATGTTTCCATTGGCATGAAATCCCAGGTCATTCAATTCTGACTACAACATGTGTGGCATAAAAAATTTGTTGAAATATATGTAGTGATCTGAAGGAACTTCTATCACGCTTAAAAGATCTATAATTTTTCCACCTAGTCCAAGATCAATTAATCTCTTTGAAGATTTTCTTAATATGTATTTTCATAACATATGTAAGTACCCTTCATAGTAACACAAACTTTAAACTTTCAAGCCAAAATAAACAGGTTTTCCTTCGAGAAACATTTTGTATGAATGTCTATTAAAATAAGCTACAATTTGTTAATTGATAGGAAGATGTGGTGAAGAAACCTCATACTGCATGAAATTGGCATTGAAAACATTTAAATAGGGATGAATCTTAGCTGAAATATTTCTTTTATTCAATGCATTATTATCAGCTAAATGCAAGTTCTGCTTGATATTAGTATAAATAGAACATGCCATTGCTGTACATACTAATAGACAACTGACATCTTCAGCAAATAACCAATTAAGCCTTCCTTGAGGAAGATATACACAGCTAATGTAAAACAGAAAGCCTATAATGCATTTCAACACAGGGACAGAAAGAGAACAATTTTGCCTGATTTATATATTTTTGACTTTCTTGGGTGATATGTTCCAAAAGATTCTAATTATACGATTGTACAAATACATATACAGGTTCTACATCATGCAATTTTTCTAAAATTGCTTCCTTGTTTGTTTTTTCTGTGAACTCTTCATCATTTGAATCACTACTTATACAGTAGAAACATTTTTTTTTTTTTTTGATAAATTCGATACATTTTTACATTGTTTTAGATGAAAAAATCTTGATTCCACCCGATACATCTTTCAACACTGGCAAATTATAATCTAACACATCTTCATATGTGCATTCTTCACCAGTTACAATGCCTAGGTCTAGGGGAATCACTACTAAATCTGCTTCTCCTTGATTATCATTATGTGATGAAAGTTCTAAAACATCATTTTCAAATAACTCTTTTATAAATTCCAATGTTTCATTCAATATTAAAAACCACTGTCTTGGATATCCATTATTTTGGAACTGTTGTTTTGTAGAATCTGTATAAGAAAATACCTTTAATCCAAACCAAAAATCTACTACCAAAAATCTGTATATATTCTGTATTATCTGTATATAACAATCTGTATATACTGAACTGACATTGCATTTTCGCAACATTATAAAAAATGCATATTTATACCAACTAAGACAAAATAATAAGCTCACCTTTTCTAAAAGATAGATGTGTCTCTTAAAAATATTTGATTGGCTGTGCCCTCTTTGAGATCTACTCAAAATTAGAAAAAACTTTCCAAAAAAGAATCAAAATGATCATTTATTTTTATAAAAAATTTTAATGGAGAACAATTTTTTTTGCTCAGAAATATTGAAGTTTTATCTACAATATACAAAAAAGTTAAAGACAATGAAAAAAAAGGCTTTACAAAAGTTGACAGAAAAAGTTTTGACTAGTCGTTAATGAGTTAAGTAGATAGAAATTTTTGGCCATTTGGTTTTCAAAGTTTGTAATTAGACATTTTGACAGACATTCAGAAGTTGATCTTGAGTTGTCTCAGAGCTTGGGGTTTGCAAATTTTTGTTTATGGAGCCTTATATGATAGCATTATATTCATAAATCTTCAGGAGTAGTTTTGAAGGTTCTACATTTAAACCTTGCTGTCTTAACACATCCAATAAAAGTTAACAGTGCCCTCAAAACAAACAAACAAACAACAACATATTGTTTGTGACATCATGCTTCAGACACCAATAGCACAAGCATTTCATGTTACATGATGAATTTTTTCATACCAGACTTGTTTTTGACATCTGCAATCTGTATCTGAATTTTGTTTTACCATTTGGGCTCCAAAATGAAACCACATCTCCTATTTAAAAAGAATATAAATCTAGGAAATATTGAGAGATTTGATAATCCTAATTCTTTACTATTTTTATACACCATAATTTCCAAGACAATAAAGCCTTTTGTAGTATCGGATGAGGTATTTTATCTCATTGCTCTCAAACAGCTTTCCAAAGTCTAAGGAGATTGTAGGTTGACGTTTAGACAACCCACTTTTTAAAAAACCAAAAGCGCAAAAATACATTGGTGACAGATCAAAAGATTTACTAGGGTTAAGAGTGAAGGATATGGCCTTCATATTTGTTTCATGTTTCATTTTTTTCCATGAAATTGACAGTAGATTTTGAGGTATCGCTGCTTGCTTTGTCTAGATGCAATTCTACTGACTGATCACACCGTGTATAAAGAGAAGGTACAGTCAAAAGTCGTTAATTCGGACACCCATAATCTGGACCTCAAAGCTACAAACTTTCTGCGCAGGTCGTAGGCTTCACGGTCTGCAAATATGTTGTGCGCAAATACGTTTACGCATCCGTTATGTAATGGACGGTATAGCTAAGCTAACTTATCTAATTATTATGTGCAAGATTGTTCCTAATCTTAGAATTGATCCGGCTTTTATCTTTGCAGCTTAAAGAAAACAATTATAAACGTGAGCTTGACTTTTGATTATGTCATAGAATTCCGATATATATGACAATATTAAAGGATCTAAAAGTGAAAGTGTTTCGATCCATAACAAAAGTGGAATTGCTGCAACATCATGCTGTCTTAACACATCCTTGGGGTGGGGACTAACGGAAGTTGATCTGTCAGCACTATCCTTATCTTCAGGGAGATATTTTATTTACTTGGCTTTATAATTCCTTACTAAATGTAGTATTCATCTCAATTATCCGTTTTTGGATATTTTAACTCAAATTCCTTGTCATTAATTCGCTCCGCTAGTGAAGCGGTATTGAAACGAAAATTTTGATTGACACATTGTCGGTATTCTCGCACAGCAATTATAGGACTTGAACAGCGGACTTTGTAACTGAATAGAAATATGTCTGTTTTAGAATAAGAGAAAAAATTGTCACATAAAACTAATCAAACTTAACAACTAGTTGAGATGTTAAGTAAACAAATAAATTAATCTTTTTTTTGTAGTTTCGATACCTTTTAAATTATGTGCTCTTATTCAAAATTACTATTTCATATTTTAATTTTATAATTTCTGCATGCCATCTTACCAGATTTAAATTGATGATCTATAATCCGGAATCGCCGAAGTCCCGACGAGTCCAGATTAACTACTTTTGACTGTATTTCATATTCGAAAATTGGGTATAAAATATGTTTTTGATAATATACGGCATAGATGTCAACATTTTCCTCCACCCACTTTAATTTTAATTCTCTGTGATATGAAAAACCAGAAACAATCATAAACCCCTTAGAAAAACTTTTAGATTACTTAAACCATGTTTTAAGATTTTTTCCTCCGCTTTGATGATAATAAATGTATCTTTTTTTTATTGCAATGATTTAAATACATCCAAGATTTA